ATAGTTTTCAGAATTTCATATAGCAGTATGATTTAAAAAAGTGGATATAATAAAAATTTTTGCCAACAATTTATTTAAACGTTCATATGAAATTATTACTAAAAACTTGAAAGTGCTAAAACCCAAAGAGTAAAATGTCGAAAATAATTATTTTTTTAAAAGAAAAAAATTTTTAATCAATGTAATCATTGCGAAAAGTGACACCCCAATCAATAATATAATTGGTTTTGTCCAATGGAAATGATATTTGTATTTATCCAATGGGAAGTGGTGGGGAAAATTAGTAAACCGATAAATTATAAATTACTATCCAAATAAAGTTTGTACTCAAATCTTGTATAATACAATTCTGTTTGTGTTCTCGAAGTTCGATACGTATGTACTATGTACATAATATTTTGGTAGAGACTCCCTCCAAAAAAATTAGATAATAAATGACACTTTCCTTAAAGATATCTAGTTATTCATTAGGGGATTTAGTGTTGGGATCCAGATGTCAATTCGGATATCCAGATAGTCATCTACGCTCAAAAATAGCAATCCAGATAGGATATTCGTATCTGTTAACAAATATCTGTGCTCAAAAATAGCCATCCAGATATCCGTAAATATTACGGATATCTGGATAATAGCCAATTAGAATGTGCTAACCAATTATTTTATTCTTATTACAATAAAATTAAAAGGTCTATATAGGTATCTGGAATATTTTTTATTATCTAGATTCACCATCTGTGAACAAAATTTGATATCCGAATATCCATACCATCCATAGATATCCGGATGTTTAACCAAATAGATCCCAACACTAAGGAGATTATTATTATTTAAACCTTCTGGGTTCTATATGTAATTATAATTTATTATATTTATCTTTATATAAATTAAAATTTTTAATTCATTTTCAAAAATAATTATCTATACAGATAGGTTTAAATATTATAAAACAAGTAATAATGTTTATAGTAATAAAGAAAATTTTGAAGAGTTTAATTCTATAGTTCAACAAGATCAAACAACCTTTATATCATTTAATAAAAACTGAGAATATAATAAGTTTGAACTATATTATATTTTACAAAAAGCAGGCAATTATATAAATAAGTAGAATTAAATTTTGTGTTGGATATAAATTCAATTTATAAGTTTTGCAAATATAAATCACTAATTATTTATAATTAATTAATAAACCAAAGTGAACTATATAGTATGAATTTGCAATATAAAAATAATAAAACTGCAACAGATAGATAAATTATATATCACTAAAGAAATAGATAGCAGCTTTTATTAAATATAAATATTTTAATAACACTTATATTTTAAATAATAGTTATTAATATATTATTTATTGTTTATATTGCAATAAATATAAGAATTAAAAGTGCTTTAAATAAATACTGTATAAGAATCAAAAATGCTTTAAATAAATATAAGAATCAAAAGTGCTTTAAATATATAGATGCAAATATTTTTTTTAAAAGTAATATTAAAAGTTAGCTGCTACTGACTTTCTAAGCAGGCTTCCATTTTATCTACTCTTGAAATTTATATGATCCTTTGAAATAAACTTCTGGTAACTAACCTATTAGTGCAAGATTTTTTCAATCTGGCAATTTACAGTTACTGTAACATAGATCTATTTTTTCAAAACTATTATATATAAGATTTGAACCTTAGAGAAAGTGATAAACTAGCTACTACACTAAGTCACCAAATCTCTTATGTAGTAGTTTTTAAAATAATTTAAATTGTATAATATTGTATAATATTATATATATATATAATATAATTTTTAAAAATTATTTGCTAAAATTATTTGTAGAGATTATAGTAAATATTTTAGCCAGATTTATAATTTTTTTAAATTAGCCAATATGAATTAACTTTAAAATTAGAGTTAGAGCATTTTGTATTTTATTTTTTTATTTTTTATTTTATTTTTTTTTAGTATTAAAATGATCTCATTGGCCTGAAAACTTTTTATTAGAGTATAAACAATGTTTTATAGTATAATTACAATAGTGATACATCAAGCCACACATGCACTTTTGGTGCCTAATTTAAGTGGTCTGCCTGAAGTATTAGTGCTATGCTAAGGGTTCCACACTATTTGCTATATAGCATTTTGTATTTTATATAAGTATACTTGATTTAATTTATATATAATATTCATAATTATTTGACAATTCAGCATGATTTTTAATATTATTTATTATTAAAAATTAATTTTTTATTAAATAACTAAATTTAATTTTTATATAAAATATTTTTTTATTTTTTTTTTTATAAATTCGACAGTCATGCTTTAATTTTATTAGGCTTTGTACGAATCTTCTAGACTTGTAAAATTTTACACTGAGTTGTATTTAGAAAGATAAGTGATAAACTCTTAACTTGTCAGCAGATAGCATATAAAAACTATTTCTAAATGACAAGCGCTGTAGCATTAAACCTAATGTTTACCTAAATTACAAGTTAAAACTAACCCAGTTACCCCAATTAGTACCTATATTCAACCTGCTATAGCAAGATTTCCCTTCTTCCGGACCCTCCTGCAATTGGATAACCTGGCTCTCAACAGTGGACCTTGCGCCTGTCATGACTACCTCCTCTTCTTCAGACTTCTTCTACCTAAGCCTGACAACACAATTAAACCCTTATTCGTATATAAAAGTAAAAATGTAAAGCTATGTTTACAAAAGACATAAACATTTTAGAAAAATATGCCTCATGACAATAAAAAAAAAACAAAAACCAAACTAAAATTCCTAAAATAATCTAACATAAATAAACAAAGATAAAAAAAGTGAAAAAAAAGAAAGTAGCCATAATACACTATTATAGCCCATGTTAGGCATAAAGATAAAAATTATATAATAATTGCAACTAATTACTATATCTTAATTGTAAATCTTCGGTTTAGCTTTGGAACTTGTTTTGGGTACTAACTCGACTCGAGTAACTCCTAAACAGAGATGAAGATCTCTTCCTTGTACCATAGCACCATATTGATAAACAAAACAAACACATAGTTACATTCTACTGAGTTTGTCTAAATTAGGTAGGTGTAAACAATGCCGATCTTTTGGAGAGGGTGAGCTAAAATGCCTACTTTTTTGTCAAAATTTTTGGTGAGAATAGCAAAAAGTAAAAAACACAAAAGAGAACACTAGTACTTATTCAAATGAGTGTGAGTTCTAAAGATATCAATAGGTGTTCCACAAGTTTGCACAGTACTCAGTTTTTTTCAGTGAGTGATAAACTCTGGGCTTGTCGGCATATAGCATATAAGAACTATCTCTAAACAACAAGTGCTATGCTGCTATAAGTGATAAACTCTAAGCTTGTCAGCAGGTAGCGTATGAGAACTACCTCTAAATGACAAGTGCAGTTCTTCTTATACTCTTTTCCCATGTCTTATATTTTTCTTGCAGTACGTTACTGTTTTTTTAGTCAAAAAGTTTTTTAGAAAATATGGTTCAGATGATCGTTGGAAAGAGTTTTTTGATTTTTAAATAAAATATTATATATAATACCACTTATATATAAATACAAATAATAAAACTTTTATTTAGTAATAAATTTAAGTTAAAGCTAAGTTTGGCAAAATATAGTTTATATTAAAATTTTGCAAAAAATTTTTTTATTAAAATAAAAAGATAGTTTTTTAATAATATAACTAGTTTTTTAAAAATTTATAATTTTATCAAACAAAGAAGTGTTCTACACATTATGCTAATCTTAAATTTTAATTGGTTATAATACTCTAGCACTATAGTGCTATTACTATAAATTGAATTTTTTTAAAAAAATTAAAATCAAAAATTATAAAATACATCTTTAGTGAACACTATATAATTTTTATTAATAAAATTTAGGGTTAGGGTGCAGTTTTAGGATAAAAGAGTTTATATATAATGTAGATTAGATAAATTTTTCAGTTTTTTAATTTTTTGTGAGGTTAACATTTTTATTTAGAGTACCTGATTCTGTTTACTTAGTACATTTTTAAAAAGTAGTATTTATGATTTACAGCCCATAGGTGCAATTTAGTAAACTTGTTTTTTTTATTTTTTTTAATTCTTTTTTATTTTTTTAATTTTTTTTAACTTTAATTTTTTTATCTTTTTACCCAAAGTTTCTCTTTCCTTTTCAAAGACTATTTTTTTTAATTTGTATTTTTTAGTTTTTTTTTTATAATATCTTAATTTTTAATTTTTTTTTATTATTTTTTTAATTTTTAATTTTCTTTATAATTTTTATTAATTTTTTTACTTTTTTAATTCTAATTTTTTTTATAATTTTTATTGTTTTTTTAATTTTTTCAGGTTTACTATTGTGCACCATAGGTGTTCAACACCATAGACCCCTATTTCTCAAAAACGTACTAAGTAAACGGAATTGAGTACTCTAAGTAAAAATGCCCAGGACCCCAAAAACCTTATGGAAAGACCTTATATCAATATATATATATATAATTTCTAAAATTGCACCCTAATCCTAAAACATATTAACACCAACATGATTAGATAAATAGTAAACTTTTTTCTAACTTTTTTAATAAATAATATTTAATGTAAAATTTTAGTGATACAAAATAGATAAGAACTAAATTTTCTAAAAAAGATTTTGTTTTCCTATTCATTAATTGAAAGTCGGAGCTTATTTCTAAGTGTTTAAAATTAAGTCATTGTCAAATAACCCGTAAATACCCCATAAAAATACACTCATGTACAATATAATATGAAAGGGATTCTTTATCATTGCGATACGAATCTATTTTAGGTAATGATCTATATCAATAACGTAACATCCTCTAATGCGAGTTTCACAACTTTAGATTTTCGTATATGTTAGTGAAACGTAGTATTTCTGAAATAGGAACAATAATCATTTAATCGGACCAAACTTTGTATAACTTTGTAAACCAGTGCTTTTACGTACGTCTTAGCTCTTACGTTTAACCTATGTACTAGAGAGTTATGTAAAATCTGGCAATGAGTTCTGGCTATGAAGATTGTAAATGTGGAAAACCAAGAACCGACAATAAGTGGTGCCAGTCGTGTAGTTCAGATTACTTTAAAAAACAATTCGGCAAGTGGACAAGTGGTAATAAAGCCGTTGATAAATTTATCCAAGATACCCAACTTAATGCTAAGAGTAGTGATCAAGTTTTAGAATTGGTTTCATTTGAAAAAGAAATCTTTGATGTTGAACATCTTGCTGTTGGTGGTTATGGGACCGTATATAAAGCTAAATGGATGAGCGGTCCTATTAAATATTATGACGTTTCTACTCAAAGATTGTGCAGGTCTGGCAAGTCTGGCGGGACTGATATTATCCTTAAAGGTTTAAAAGATTCAAAGAATGTGAATGAAGAATTTTTTGAAGAGGTATTTAATTTAATGTGCTATTATGAAACCTTTATTTGAATTATTTGAATTAATACATTTTATCCTTTTTCTTTTTTTCCGATTTTTTTTTATTTTTTTTTTTTAGATTAAAAAACAAATGATCTCATTTGTAAAGCTTGGCTACATTGTTAAATGTTATGGAGTAACCAAATGCCCCAATTCCGATAATTACATGATGATTATGGAATACAAAGAAGATGGTAGTCTTCGGAAATATTTAAATAAAAAATTTGAAAGTCTAACATGGCCCCAAAAACTAGAGCTTTTATACACTATAAGTGAAGGTCTTTTTGCAATGCATGAAAATAACTTAATACATAAAGATTTTCATAGCGGAAACATTATTATTTCTAAAGGCCAATCTTATATAACTGATTTTGGATTATGCAAAAATGTTGATTCTAAAGTCCAAGATGGTGTTCGTGGTGTATTACCATACATTGCTCCAGAAGTATTATATAGTAAACCATATACAAAAGCTGCAGACATCTATTCTTTTGGAATAATTATGAATGAGATTGCGTCAGGCATTCCTCCTTATTATGATATCCCACATGATGCTGATCTTATGATTAGTATTGTTAATAGAGGTCGCCCAGATATTTACGAAAACATAACTCCAAAAATCATTATTGATTTAATTAATAGTTGCTGGAATGAAAACCCAAAAGATCGACCAAAGGCTATTGATTTGCGTAATAAGCTTTCTAAATATAAAGAAACATGGACTGAAATTGACGAAAATCAGAATTTTGAAATACTTCCAACAGAAGCCCCTTTAAATTACAAGATATCTGAACAAGCAAGCTATATTAGTAGACTATTGCCAACGTACCAGGTAATATTTATTAATTTTTATTATTTAATGCAAATTATCGCTATATTAATATAATATAATTTATATTTTATAATTATTGAATCTCCTGAATCTTCTGTAGATTAATCAATAATTAAAAGAATATTTTTTTTTTATACGTTTATGCTATTTAATAATTGTAACATAATTATTTATTCTATTCTCATTCTGTTCCTTATACATCTTGTATATTTAAACATCAAAATTTTCTGTACTATTAGGGTAGTGACAAATATTACGCACCATTTTTTTTACTATTATTCTTTCTCTCACTATATTAGAGAAATTTGATTAGCATGATTAAATCTACATATAAGGCCATGCAAAGTTGATTTTTCGTTTTGCAAACCCATTTTTTCAATTTTTCAATTTTTTTTTTTTAAGTTCCAATTGTATCAATTATTCTATTCTACTATTTTTTCCCATAAAATTATTCCTGTGTCACCCGATGAAGACCTTAATTTCCCGGAGTACCCTGATAGAAATAATAGAAAAAAAAGAAACCAGATTCCATGTTATGCAAGACAAAAAATTGACATTGCGGACATTAGATGTGAACGAGTCTATTTTTTACAAATGGATTAATTTAAAAAAAAACCAACTTTGTGTGACCTATAATATCTGAGACCATCCCTCTCAAGATATTATATCACTACCCTCAGTACATATGCTTTATTTTCAATTTTAATATTTTAATATATTAATTAATAATTCTTGTTAATAATTTCTTTGTATAATTATGGTTTAATAAAAATTTAATTTTACAAGCCAAAATCGAATCTAATTATTGATTAGGAAACGTATCACTTCATCTACAGTAACTTCCTGGCATGGTTATATTCCGAATTTCTTGAAGGACACTACCTTATAAAAATTATCCGCTATTTCTGTAATGAACTGATTGTCGATAAAACCAGCTATCAACAAAATGAAATAAAGTTTTATAAATGAAAGCCCGTTATTTGACTTGATAAGCCTACCTAAAATCAATAAAATATATATGTATATATATTAAAATTTTAATAAAAACATAATGCTGTAATGCGCTAGGACGTTATTTCGAATTTCGGCCTGAATTAAGCTTAAATTAGGCCGAAATCGAAATTACACCCCTGCGCGACTATCCGGTATATTGAGGGAGTTTGATTATGATATTCGTATTACATAATTTACAAAATATTTTGATGCATCTTAAAATAAGTTTAGAATTGTTCTCCAAAGTAAAAATATTATTAGATGTTCATATCAGATAATTATGGAGAATATGTACTATTTATTCCCCGCGAAGCGAGGAATAAATGAGTTATTCTCCCGTTTTATTAATTGACGGCCGGAAGCTATTTCCCTATTGAGTTTGAATTAAGTTGTGCCCAAAAATAATAGCGAAAACTCCGTGACAAACAATTAGTAAAACGGGGAGTAACTTTAAATACACCCTCCCAAATGCATGGTTTCTCTAAATGCTAGCTCAAATACAGAAAAATGCACGATTTCTCTAACTACTTTAAATGCACTCTCATATTTCATATTTTAGCGGTATTTATATAGTTGCTAACAATAATATACAGTCAACTCTCTCTAAATGCAACCCCTCTAAGTGCAACTTCTCTCTAAATGCAATTAAATAGTCTGGTCCGTATTGGGACACATAAATGCAAGTTCTTTATTCTCGAAGTGCAAGATTTTTTTTAGCCAGCATATATAAAATTATTTTATTGTAAGATATATTATTAACCAATTAAATTGACTTATTTAATTAGTTTTTTTTTCTAAGTGAGGATATTTTTTTTATCTTATAAACTTGCATTTAGAGAGAATTAATTATATATTAATTTAGTTTTCTTTAAGTGCAAGTTCTCTCTAAATGTAAGATATTTTGTTGGTCCGTTGACTTGCACTTAGAGAGAGTTGACTGTATAAAGGATAATAAATTAATTGTGCAAGTTATGTTATCGTTCGTTTCACTTTATTTTGCTCTTTTCAATTGGTAAATTTTCAATGTAAATTCTATTAAAATGGAAAAATTAATAGCTTGTTCGTCAACAATAATAATAAATAGTCTGTTTAAAGTGTTAATACTAATAAGAAATATAGAAGCCTTGATTAGGGATGGGTACGGTTCGGTTATCACCGTGGTGACCGGTTATTAGCAGTAACCATTGCTAGCCGGTTAGAGAGGTTTAACTGGCCGGCTAAATAATAACTGATGCCGGATTTTTTTTAAAAAAAACTTTCAGAACAGGGATGATAAATGACTAGGTCATTTGCCTATTTTGCAAATGACCCGAAATGACCCCAGGATGACCGGTCATTTTGATAATCTAATTTTTGAGTCATTTGGTCATTATACATACTACAATCGAGTGATGCGACAAATTTCGGTTGGGTATTAGTACATATCGGTTAGATCGAAAGAATTTACGCATACAAAGTTTAATATTAATTAAGGTTTGGAACCGGTTTCATTTCATATGTCGTGGCCGTCTACTATCATGCATACAAAGCGAAGAATAAGCCCTTACTTTAAGCATATATGCGCATACAATATTTAAAATATCTTCTACCATCTGGGACTTAGGGTGCTCTGAATACCTAAATTAATAGTTCGGAGCTTATTTAACTATATAGTTTAGCCGGTTAAGTGAATCCATTAATTCGAGGAAAAAAAAAAAGGCTTGACCATCTTTTTTTATTATAGAGTTGTGCTACTAGCTAAAATTTAATATCCATATTATGTGATATGAATTTCAGTAAAATTGTCGTAAGGATCATGTCAATTAATCACACGATTTAAGACTTGCCATCAGGCTTTCGATTATATTTCGTACCGGATACAATCTCTAACAAATTTAATTGAAATCTGATGGCAAATTTTCCCTAAGCGACACTCATGCAATACCAATTTCAAAACAAATTTAATTTAAATCGAAAAAAAATAGAAAACAAAAATCAACAAATCAAAAAAAAAAAAAAAAAAACTCGATTACAGTGCAGCAATAAGTTCATATCAACAGTTTAGCAGTTAAACACTAGGGATGTTATCCTGTTTAAACCAGTCAGTCTGTGTTAGAAAATCTGTTGAACACCGATTCAAAGCACACGTGTCTCAAACTCTGTTTACACAAATTTATTAATGATTATGCTTGTTAAACATGTTAACCTAAAGCAATGCTATTACTATTTAACATAAACTTTGCTATTTATTACTATAAATAAATACATGAAAAATATTGTATAATATTTATTTCATTGCATCTATTATTTATTTAGTTTATTGACCATGCAATCAATAATATCTGATTCATACAAAGTTTTTATGCAAAGACTTGCGCAAGCATTTTCATTAGAAAGCTGATTGCATATCGGGGTTTTCATTGAATAAAATGCTGAACAATACCTGTAATGTTTTTTGTTACCAGTTTCAACAAGCTCATCCTAGAAGGGATTCTTCTTCAATTGTTTTGAAGATAGTGTATTTCTTTAAGTATACTTGATGCAAATTTGGCCTTAGACATTGAATTTGAAGAGGAGGTAAATTCAGTTGTATTATAAATTATTCAAGTGTAGTTTTTTGTGAAAGGTTCAAATAAAAAAAAAGAAAAAAAAAGAAATGCCACATATTTATACAATATAAAAAAATTAAAATATAGGGGGAAGTCAATAGAAAAGGGACAAATTGTTTTTAGTGAAATTTTTTTAATTTTTAAATTAAAATATCTCAACAACTAATTA